ATGTATATATATATATATATATATATATATATATATATATATATATATATATATGTATATATATATAATATATATTTGTGTATGTATATACACATATATATATATATATATATATATATATATATATATATATATATATATATATATATATATATGTGTGTGTATATAGATACATATATATGTATGTATGTGTATATATATATATATATATATATATATATATATATATATATATATATATATATATATAAAGAGAGAGAGGAAGAGGGAGGGAGAGAGAGAGAGAGAGAGACAGAGAGAGAGAGAGAGAGACAGAGAGAGAGAGAGAGAGAGAGAGAGAGAGAGAGAGAGAGAGAGAGAGAGAGAGAGAGAGAGAGAGAGAGAGAGAGAGACAAACAGAGACACCAAACACCCTTACCTCATTCATCATGTGGTCCACAATAATGAGATCATACATCTTCCTCTTGTCATACAGCTCCGTCACTTCCGGGATTTTATAAAGTTTCTTCGCCATGGCCGGAAGAATATCCTCCAGCAGAGAAAAGCCGCCCGTGGGATCATCCCGGGCTTCAAATAAGTTCATGTTTTCGACATCGAAGTCCTTGAGTCCGTGGTTAATCTCCGTGACGTTGGGATTCTTGGAGGACGCAGGATAACTGGACAGCATCACCACCTGGAGAGAAAGATAACTGGGTTAAAGGAACGCGATGGCGAACGTAGCCTCTTCTTCGTTAAACCGAATCTGTGTTTAATATGTTTCTACTTGATTTAAATATCGTGTTTGTGTGTTACTTATAACTTCATTTCGTTTCTTTTTGGGGTTAAATGACTGATGGCTATTATTCCATTTTCACCTTCGCCTCCACCGTTCACGCCCCTACTTTTCGATAAGACGTATCTACGTGCCTATTTATTTGTCTAACTACAGGTATCTGTCTATCGATCAATCTACCTTAGCATTTGTCACTATAGATCTATCTACCTACCTTTATATTTGTTAACCTATCTGTCTATCTACTAATCTATCTATCTATCTACCTTTATATTTGTCACTCTATCTGTCTATCTAACAATCTAACTATCTATCTACCCATCCTTCGGCCAACCTACCTGCCTATCTAACTATCTCTCTATCCAAACCCCTGACCTTGTGTCCTCGTTCGCCTAAAGCGTCAGCAACGCTCGTGAAGAAATTCTTGTGGCTCTTCGTCCCCACAGGCAGCAGCATGAGGATCTTGTATGGTTTCTCGAGGGGAGCCAGTTTCCCGAGAGCCGCACCCGCCAGTGCCAGCAAAAGTACAAGTGCCACTCTCATCTGTGGAGAAGGGAAGATAAAAAAGTGATGTTATTCGGAAAGAGTGGTTGAGTTTTTACCATAATGAAGGGGTACTGATAAAGGGCGTGTGATTGAATCCGTCTCAATGAGGATGTATGCACAGGTGTAAGGGAGAGAGTCCAGGTGATGTTACTCCATTTGGCAATGTATTACAAATTCTACGTTTTATTTCTCCCTTGCTTCTTAATATAAACAAAAAAAAACTATATTAAGCAGTGTAATAATTATGATTTTGATGATAATGACAGTAATAGTAAATCAAATGGTAATAATGATAATTATAATCATAATAAAAGTGATATGACAGCAATGATGGTAGCAACATTAATTAAAACAACATATTACCAGCACCCAGTATGAATAATCATCGTACTAACTATAGCACTTACAGTGTCACGTATATACAATAGTAAAAAATAACAGAAATTATTAATTTAATTATTTCTGTAAGAATAATGCTAAACTGAAGTATATATACATACATACATACATACATATATATATATATATATATATATATATATATATATATATATATATATATATATATATATATATATATATATATATATATATATATATATATATATATATATATATATACATATACATATACATATACATAATACATAAATATTAACGAAGAGCTGTTTATGCTTCAGTAATTAGCCTCCCCTAAAAACAAGTAAATATACAAGCAAACAAACACACACAGAGGCCATGACAGCTATGACCATCATGACCCTAGATATTCAGAATATGAACGCACTCCTGCGCAAGGCCACGGCGGCGCCTGTCCTTCCACTCGTATGCCATCACAATACCCAAGTGCGTTGTGTCACTGCATATCGTCTTTTATCTCTAATATCTTCCTTTGTGACCTATTGCTTCGTTCGGGTCACTTTAAAGTTGTTGTTGCTCCTTGAATGATGTAAATATATACACATGTTCACTAATTTGAATAATAATAAGATTGAAGTTGTTTGTATTTAATCTAAAGTCTAGTCTTCAGGAAATTGTGGCTAGTGTGAAACTATTCGGTCATTTGACTGAACATCCTCGTTATGTACCTTGCATGCCATGTCCTTTCCTGGCTTATCCTCGCTATTCTTTGCGTTGGATTATTTTCTAAAATGTATTTAAATCAGCCGAAATAGTCTCTTT